TGTATGAGCCCCTAATAAAAATGATTATTAAAAAAGAAAAAGAAAGAAAAAAAGATTGACTAAGCCTGAGAAACGGTATGTTGGGTCACTATGAGTCAGAATCAACTTGGATAGAAGTGAGTCCCCCACCTCCCCCTTTTCCCCAATAAAATGCATTGGGAGATAATACAGATATCATATCATTCTATAATTCAATCACATCAAGCAGTATTGTATAATTGATACCACAATCAGTTTCGAAACATTCTCTTCCTTCTGGAACTCCTCAATATAAGGTCCCCTTTATCCCTGCCACCCCACCCCCACCCCTCGCTCCCTGACAAATACCCCCCGCCCCACTCCACCCTGTACCTGCCAGGAACCCTTATTCTACTTGCTGTCTCTGTAGATTCATTAATCCTGGGTTTCATATACCAAAAACCAGAAAAGCATGTAACAAAAATTCAAGAGGGTGACCCCCCCAGTGACAAAATACTTCTGAGATAATCGCTAATATGAAAAACAACAACAACAACAACAACAACAACACACAGAAAATGCTGAAAACCAGATGGGGCTCAAGTGCATCAGAGCGGGGATCAACTGCCAAGGCTTTAACCATTCGAGTCAGGCTTATCGTTTTGTTTTCCTCTAGTCATCTCTCCAATGCCCTCTGGTAACCAGTTTCTCCCCTCTATTATGGATAGAGGGAAATCACCGAAGACTTATTGTCTGTGTAGTCTCCACAAATTCCTCTTGGGCTTCCACTGTCATCCATAGCCTTCTGAAAACCAGAATCTCACACTTTGCTTCAGATGGTATGATTTATAACCCTTCAATCATCGACGTCGAAGTGCTTCCTCCATGTTGGACTTAGTTGACATCTCATTTAACTGGCTGCCTCTTTGGAACCCAGCCTTTAAGACCACAGGTGCTATTTTATCTTATAGCTGAGCACCATCTAATTTCTTCACCACACGTTTCTGTAGACCCATATCTTCTGTTTTCCTATCATGAGGGTGAGTATAGAGCAGAGTCATGATGTAATAACTGATTGTTCTTAAATTGGAGCTAGGATTTAGTGAGTACCCCAAACCTATTCCAAGGTCTATGTTTGTTTGTTTTTTTTAATCTGTCTTTGGCTCCCTTTAGAGACCTCTTTGTTAATTTATGTTAGAGATTCTAGTTGATCATCTCCCTGGAGCATAAAGATCTCCCATCAATATTGTCATTGATTAGCCCCTGGTACTAAATTTTAAAACATTGTTGAGAGAGTGATATTGGGCCAATGTAAGCTAAATCCATATTGCAATACTTGAATTATTCAATTGTATAGAATAAGCTCTTTCATGGCTGGATGCTATTTACACAAACAATGGAAGTTGGTTTCAGGGAAAATTTACAATAATATTCACTGAGAATGTCAATCACAGGTTTGCTGGAATAATATATATCTCAATACAGCATATAGGGAATTGATGTAGTAAGTAAATGACTATCCACCTACTGATAGTTCAATACTTTTGGTATAGCTGCCTTCTGCTTCTTCAAACATCATGCATTTTCAATCTTAAATCCTCAGGTTACAAGTGTGGTTAAGGGAGAGCCCAGTTCATTAGTGGAGTTTCCACATTGGATCTAGAAGTGAGTTTTTTTGAGTGGGTTGGGTCTGTAAGTAAATTGCTCTCCTTTACTGCTAGATGTCAAGAGAAGTATAACAAGAACCATAGCTAATCTGGGCATGCCACTTAGTTGCACATGACTTGGACAATTTATTTAATCCTTGAGTGTCCAAGCTAATTTCCTTGTCAAGTGGGATACGAATAACACAATTTCAAATGTCAGTTGTGAAAAGTGAATGAGCTAGTGCACACATGAAGATCACATGACTGAACATACAAAGTCCACATCATTCTTTGATATAATCAAGAGATATTGGAAGTGGTCCTTTGTCCTCAGAATCGCTCTATATGGGACTCCCATGCAGCTCCTTTCTTGGCTTCGTCAGTTCTTGTTTCTCAAAATGAAAGTATGTACACACAAATGCCTCCCCCCACCCCCCCTTCCTACACACACACTTACTTTCTTAATTCCATGTTCTCTACCAACTGAAAGAGTCTTTGTGGGGTAGTGGTTATGCATTGGGCTGCTAACCACAAGGTCAGCAGTTTGAAACTACTGGCTGTTCCTAGGGAGAAAGATGAAGCTTTCTATACCTGTAAAGACATACAGTCTTGGAAACTCACAGGGACACTACTGCATTGTCCTACAGTGACCCTATGAGTCACAATAGACTGGATGGCAGTGAGTTGGCATTTTTGTTTGTTTTCAAGACAATACATTCACCCACACTACCCACACAGTTTTTCCCCAGAACAGTACTAAGCTTCTCACTCTCCACCAATTTATCTCATTTGTAGCCCCTTTAATGTGTCATTCCAACTTACCCTTGGAACAGATTGGCAATGCTGGTTCCCATTTGTTTTGGGCATGGCACTGCACACTGTCGGGTCCTTTTATGTCAAAGCCGGGTTGACACTTGAGCCTCACAGACTCGTATAAGGAGAATAAGATCTTATCCCCAGTTGTCCTTATTCCATTTTCAACCACTGGTGCTGTGCATGTATTAGGAGGTGGAATACACTCAGGGGGAAGACTGCTCCAGTTGCCAAATTGATTGTCATGGCTGGTACAGTGTATTGATGGCGTGCCCACAAGTTTAAAACCTCTTCCTCTCGTGTGGGTCTTGCAGTGATAGGTCACTACCATTCCGTATACAAAATATTCTTCATTATTGCTTGTGAAGTATCCATTGGCGATGGTTGGAGGTGGCTCACAGCGAATAACTGAGAGAAAGGGACAGTATGTTAAACAACAGTGCATTAAAGTAACAAGTGAAAAGATTCCAGTGAATCGCTAGACTATATTTACAGTCATTATTCACATTTAATATTGCGAACATGCTGATACGGTTTTAAGTTGCAATTTAGGTGGGCATAATAATAGCATGTATTCTAACTTTCCTGCTTATGCTATTTCCTGTCAACATACATATCTATTGACCTAATCAACATTTCTTTCTTTTTAAATTAGCTGTTTGATCAAATTATCATAGCATTGTTTACATAGTTCTCCCTTACTCTTTGTATTTGTCTTTTTATTTCTCACTTTTGTTAGCTGAGCATAGTGTTTTAAAAATAAAATAAGAGAAGCCCACACTAAAAGAAGACCTGTAAGGGAAAACAGAAAACACAACGATACAGCATACATTAAGGAGTTAAATTGGAATAAAGTCACATATGCATGGAATATTTATGAAATGGTATATTACAAAAAGTTCAACATTTTGAGAATCCGTATTATAAATTAAAATATAAATGATCAATACTCATTCTAGGAGACATATAAAGCAAGGCTCAAGCAACTATAATTCACAGATGCTATTCAATTTCAGAGCAATTCTATCAAACATTCAAGTAAAGATATTTCTTTCCACCCCCCCCCACCCTTTGGTGTTTTTTTTTTTAATCCTTTTATTAGGAGCTCATGCAACTCTTATCACAATCCATACATACATCAATTGTGTAAAGCACATTTGTACATTCATTGCCCGCATCATTCTCAAAACATTTGCTCTCCACTTAAGCCCCTGGCATCAGGTTCTTATTTTTTCCCTCCCTCCCTGCTCCCCCTCCCTCTTGAACTCTTGATAATTTATCAACTATTATTTTGTCATATCTTACCCTGTCCTGCATCTCTCTTCACTCACTTTTCTGCTGTCCATCCTCCAGGGAGGAGGTCACATGTAGATCCTTGTAATTGGTTCTCCCCTTCTAACCCACCCTCCTCTACCCTCCCAGTATTGCCACTCACACCACTGGTCCTGACGGGATCATCCGCCCTGGATTCCCTGTATTTTCAGTTCCTATCTGTACCAGTGTACATCCTCTGGTCTAGGCAGACTTTCAAGGTAGGACTGGGATCATGATGATAGTAGTGCGGTGGTGGTGGTGGAGTGGGTGGGTAAGAGGGGCGGGGAAGCATTTAGGAACTAGAGGAAAGTTGTATGTTTCATCATTGCTACATCGCACCCTGACTGGCTCATCTCCTTCCCGAGACCCTTCTGTAAGGGGATCTCCAGTGGCCTACAAATGGGCTTTGGGTCTCCACTCTGGACTCCCCTCCTCATTCACAATGATAAGATGTTTTGTTCTGATGATGCCTGAAACCTGATCCCTTCAAAACCTTGTGATTGCACAGGTAAAGATATTTCTAAATATAATATCTAAATGTTTCACAGTGTGTGTATATAGAGAGAGCTTATCAACTAATTTTTATCATGCCTAAGCTTGATACGATAGCACCATATCCATGCAAAAGTGATCATATTTAAGTCCATAAAAACCCAGTACATTTGAAATAGAAGTAGGATATAGCACATTGTGTTCCTCTAATGCTAATAATGAGAACTAAATAACCTCAAATAATGTCTCCAGGTATGGAAAATAGAAAGTAAAAATGCTACAAAGCCTTCTGCTTCTGATAATGGTGATCTTGACACCTCAGATCAAGTGTTCTACCCTCCCATCCTCTACCCCCTGAGAAAGACTAAGAAACTGCAGGGACAATAGAAAATGTCTTCGAAAGCACCAGAGAAACGTAGCAAGCTCTTGAAACACGAGGGCAACTCTGGAAGAGGAGGAAAGCCGGGCAAGAGTCGTGTGTCTGCATGGCTCTTCCTATCAGGAGGGCATGCTGAGAGGCTGACCAGACTTTTGCTAGTCTGATGAAGCCAAGGGACAAAAGTTGGAATCTAGCACCTGCCCAAAATGGAGCCTTGGATTTACCTTCTGATTTACACTGAGACCGCAAAGAGCTAGGCCGTGGTTATGAAGATTAATTGAAAATAAGCCTACGAGTGAAGATAGGAACTGTTCTTCCAGTAATATGCATGGCCCAGAACACCGCAGTTTTGTGAAACAAGATGAGAGCAATCCCAGTTTCCAGTGTCCCTGCTGCTTTGCAGACTCGAATGAAACACTCTCTCAAGAGGAAGATACATCACTTAAGACCCTACATTTATTTCTACAGACACATTTTCAAATGTAATGCTGGAAACACTATCAAAGACAACCAAGTATTTGAAAAGAAAAAATAGTAGGAACAGGACACAGCCCACTCACAGATCACGGAAACGGACACCATTCTTCATTATGGATATTTCACACACAGATTGAAAATCCATGAGTTTTCCATGTTCAGGGAAATAATACATAAAACAGAAACTTTGGGTAATAACAATTAGTTGGGTCTGTTGGGTTGATTCTGAATCATAGCAACCTCATGTGACAGAGCAGAACTTCATTAGGGTTTTCTCGGCTATAATCTTTGCTGAAGCAGACCAGCAGGTCTTTTCCCCATAGAAACTGCAGGGTGGATTTGAACCACTAACCTTTTGGTTAGCAACTCAGTACTTAGCGGCTTTGCCACCAGGGGTCCTTAAGTAATAAATGGAATATATCAAAAAGAATAGAGTGGACTCCCTGCTGAAATGGTGACTTAGTCAGCAAAGACCCAAGAAAAGAAATGGAACAGATACAGAAGACAATCCTGGAATCTTGAGCATCAAATGAAAGGATAAAGAACTAGATCAAACGCTGACTGAAAGAGGACACTGACGGAAAGTATCAAACAAGCAGAGATGGAGCAGCAGGGGCCAGCCTGGCACAGAGTGGCTATTTTGAATCAAAGTTAGTAGTAATTCGGGTGCACAGAAGGAGCAGAAAAGGCAACTTCACAACATTCTCAATAAAATATAGAGTAATTATAGACATACCTGGAGTAATGGAGGGTCTGATTGTTGGCTGCACCCAATGGGAAAAGCCCAGGGGCCATCCAGTAACCAGAGGTGCATGATTCTCCTCCTTTGACCCCGCCCCCCCCCCCGCCCCCCACAGGCGATTAGCAGCATTTGCCAGCACTGACCATCAGGAGCCAAGGCAAGAGCCCATCCTTCCTCCCTAGCCCCTCCCAGCCCACACCGCTCAAACTTGATCACCTCCCTACCTGCCTCAACTGCCACTCATCTCCATCTCCACCTAATGGTGACATGATGTCAGTAGCTCTTGAAACAGCAACCCCCCTCCCTCCTCCTCCTGCTCATTGAGAGACTGCAGCAGTGTAACACCACATGTACTGCCTGCAGCACCCTCCCCTTACTTCTACCTGCAGATGATCCTCCCCCTCTTGCTGAAAGGGAGGGGGGCAAGCATGCAACTGTGTGTGCTTTTGCCCACCACTCACCTACTCATCTGGCAGAAGGTAGCAACTACACCCTGAGGGGTCAACAATGCCCATCAAACTTGCTGTCCCACTGACTGGTGAGTGCCAGTGTGTGTTTCTGTGCCAAAGGACTGATAGCAGAGAGTGGCCAGTGCCAAATCAAAGAACCGTCAGATGCCTAACAAAACCAGGTAAAAGAGAACTGTGTTCATTATACCCCCCTTACTACTTCATCATCTGAAGACAGGCGGTAAACAATCCAGTAAGGCCAGGCAGACAGCCAGAGCATGCCCATTCCTCCTGCTCTGATATATCAAAGGTAAACAGAGCTAAACATGGAGAGGCAGCAAGCAAACATATAATAAATAAACAATTATAATAACATCTCGAAGCCTAGGAAACAACAGATAATATTAAATTATCAAAAGAAGTAGGATAACATGATTCCAACAGGTGACACAAATAAAGAACCAGGACTCCTCTCTGAGGAAAAAAAGGTAAAGCAACTACCTGATAAGGAACCGAATATATATATATATATATATATATCCTTCCTAGAGGCCAAGAAAAAAATCAAGGAAAACTCTAAAAGAATTCAGGAAAATAATACAAGAACAAAATAACAACATAGATATATAATTATGAACCATGCAGAAACATCAACTAGAAATTCAGAAGATAATACTAAAATTTCAGCAATAGGTAATGTATTGAAAGCACAAAGCCATGGAATTGAATCAATAGATGTCAGAATTAGCTAAACAGAAATCAAATCCCCTGATGTCAGCCTGTAAAAGGAACATGCAGAAAAAGAAAAGAAGAAAACTTAAGAAAGTTACGCGTTACGTAAGGAGCCCTTATGGTGTGGTGGTTATGCGCAGAGCTGAGATCAGCATGGTCAGCAGTTTGAAACCACCAGCAGTTTTTAGGGACAGAGACTGGGCTTTCTGTTCCTGTAAACAGTTGCAGTCTCAGAAACCAACAGGGGGTCATTATGAGTCAGCATTGGCTTCATGGCAGTGAGTTTAGGTTTTTTTCGAAGAGTTATGTGGGAAATTATTAATACGAATTTACATGTAATTAGAATTCTAGAATAGAAAGAGACTTGAAGTATTGAATGGTATGATATGTGAATTATATGATAATAAAATTGTAAAAAAGAAGATTCCCATTCAAGGCCCCAAATGAAAATCACCAAGACATATCATAATCGAAATTTCTCCAACCAAAGAGAAAGAAAGAATTCTGTAATTCTTACAAAGGAAAACCAATAAAATATACTGATTACTTGGCAGAATTTATACAAGTGGAAAGTATTCTAGATGGTGTAGAAAGCAGATAAATTACCTAGACAGACAAATTACCAGAACAATCTACAACAAAGACTTGAGAAACAAAATGAAATGGATTTTGATGACAACCCTGAGACCCCGAGCTTTAAAGGAAAGAATAATGATGTAACCAAAATGTAAGAAAGGAAGAGGATGAATGAGAAAATAGAAAACAGCGCACAGTCAGCCAGCACAGCATGACCATTTTGAATTATTACAAGCAATGTTGTGATTGAAACGGGAACCAGAAGAGGGTCTTTGCTCAGCTATGACAGTTCCAGCCCCCACACCAGTGTCCGGCTATCAATCAGAGAGGTCTTCCCTGCCCATCAACTGCTCCTTGTTATTTTTTAAAAATTTCTTCCTTCTTTTTTCCACCTTTTTGCCCCTTATTTTTGCCCAGAAGTTGGAAGTCAGCAACCTTACCCAGCCATAGCCACCATACTCACTGCTCCTCTCACGGGACAAGTGGCACCACCATTATATCAGTGACAGATGGCAGCCATCACCCACCCAGTCTGCCTCTAGCGGCTCTGCATGACCAGCGATCAGAAACTCACCCACAATGCCAGTGCCTACGAGTTTTACCTGTGGACAGGTGATGAGCACTCTAATGAACACGCAGCATGCTTGCCCCCTTACTTGGAAATATTAATATAAAACAAAACAAAATGTCAGGATGAAGCAAACCAATACACAACCAACAAATTAGTATACTAACACCACAGTATTCTGTAGACAACAAACAACTTTAAATCACACACACACACACACACACACACACACACACTAAGATGGCATAAAAAAGTGACAAAAATTCAGGGCCAGAAAGTTTCCCAAAACAAAACAAAAAAATGCTATTGCAACTACCTGCTAAGGAATTCAGAATCTTTAACTTTGGAGATTTCAGTAGCTTAAGAACGAGATCAAGGAAACCACACACAAACTCAATAGGTAAAACCTCTAGAAGAATCCAGAAAGACAGCACAAGTACAGATCGACAAACTGAGTGGAAAACTAGCAATCATGCAAAAACAGCAGATAGAAATCCAGAAAACCAATTCTACAATTTCATAAATTGATACTCATTTGAAGGGCAAAGGAATAGACTTGAATGGGTAGAAGACAGAATGAGTAAAATTGAACACAATTCTCTTGACTTAAATGTATTAGAAGAGCAATTGGGGAAAGAAGAAAGGACGTGTAAGACTATGTGGAACACCATTAAGAAACACAACTTAAGTGTGATCAGAACAGGAAGAGACAAAAAATGCACCAAGAAAACTGCTGACGATTTATTTGAAAAACTTTCCTAACATCATGAAAGACGAGAAGACTTGCATCCCGGAAGTTCACTGAATTACAAAGGGGATAGTCCCAAAGAAAAGCACCGACACATAATCCCATCATCAAACTTTCTAGAACAAAGAAAGGCAAAGAGAAAGAAAGAATCCTGGAAATGGCTTGAGGAAAACAAAAAGTTACAAAGAAAAGCCAATAAGAACAAGTTCTTGTTTGTTTTCAGAAGCCATGCAGGCAAAACGGCAATGGGAAGGCAGATATCCAATCTGGAATTTTAAAAAATCCAATGAAGAATTATTTATTTATCCAGCAAAATTGCTCTTTAAAAACAATGGTGAAATTAGGACATTTCCAGATCAACAGAAATTAGAGAAATGTGTAAAAGCTAAACTAACCTTGTAAGAAGTGCTCAAGGGAGTTCTTTGGACAGAGAACCTATAGTGACCTACCTGAGACAGAGACACCTAAGGGCATCACCCAGAATTAACAAGAAAGGAATCAAAACGAAAAAATAAACATGCAATCCTGAAAACAGGGAACCAGAGATGTCCATTTTAAACCATGACAACGACAAAGTGTAAAGAAGTAATAAGTGGTAAACTTACAAGACTTTCCAGTGGAAAAGTCAACACCATATGACAGAATAGACCATGTGAAACATGGAAAGGTAATAAGTTACAGGGTAACCTCAAAGAAAATGAATAAAACTTTTCACCAAAATAAAAAAGAATAAAATCCCCCAAATCTCAGTCCGTGCTGAAACACCAGTAAGGAAACAAATGATAAAATATGTAAACAAAAAGACCTCAGCAAGGAAAAATATGTGGAAAAAGGAAAGTATCAACACCACACACACATTCACAGAACAAAATGAGAGTGGTCGGTTCCTTTTTATCAATCATGGAAAGTAGATTAAATGGATCGGTCAAGAGAGAAAGCATAGCAGAATGTGTACGAATACCCAACCCTGATCAATACGCTGTCGGAAAGAGAAACAACTTACACACAAAGACGAAAACGAACTGAAAGTGAAAGACTGGAAGCACATACATCAAGTAAAGGGCAACAGAAAGTTAGCAGGGATGTCAATATCGATTTCTGATAAAATAGACCTAAGTCCTCCCAAAACTGAAAATGACAAAAAAGGATATTGTAGATTGATTGAGGGGTCAGTTCAACTAGAGAAAATGTCATCCTAACGGATGGCAGAACTGATGTAACAATCAAAGTGATTTGGCTACAGAGACCTCTGAGAATTGGCTAATTGATTAGGGCGTCTCCAAAACTGAAGCTTTGTTGGTTTATGTGAACAGAAAAGACCAATGCCTGGTGATCAGAAGTCGGACTTGCATTCTGGCAAAAAACTCTTATGGTTAATCAATCATTTGAAGTGAGTACACTCAGAGGTCCTGAATGAATGGGAGACTAGATCTTTGTAAGGAAGAAGCCTGTCGGACAGTTTTTTCCCAAGGCCCTTAGAGACATTCATTCATGTTTGGATCTAGGAAACATTACATAACTAGTTACAGCTGTCAAATATAGATATAAACTAGATATTCTACAGATTAATAAAATGAGATTTTTCCCAAAGTGCCATTTCATTATCTGATATTTTCACATAAAATACTTGCATATAGAATAAACATCTATATAAGTAAAGTGCTTCCCTACAATACCTTTTTACTGCTGTTTTTATTAAGGCTGACTAACATTCTAGTGTAAAGACATACTTCTAATTCTGCATGGCTATTTTATGTTTCTTAGGAAATTCTTTATGGTCACTTAAAAATTTTTAAACAGTTTTATTGACATATAATTCACGTACCATACAATTCAATGGTTTAAGCATATAAAAAAGTTGTGTAACCATTACTACAATCAATTTTAGAACATTTTCTTCTTTCTTGTACTCATTATTATTTGCACCTCATTTCCCCTCAACCTTTCCTACCATGCTCTCAAGAACCATTAATCCTGTTACTAGATCTGTAGATTTATCTGTCCTGGAATTTGTATAAGGAAAAACAAACAAACAAAAACACAGAAAACAAACCCAACAACAATAACAAAATAGAGAAAAACAGCAATTGAAAAAAAAAGCCCCCCCCCCAAAAAAAAAAGAAAACTAGAACACATTTAAAATGTGTCAAAACAGAGAACAAATGGTTAGGTGTTAAATTTTAACCTAACTACATCTGCATCAATCCACTTTGCAATGCGCTCTGTCTGATAGTGAGGTTACTCACATTCCTGGTCAATGGTCACAGGAGATTTCTAGTAGATGACTTCCAAATCATAATTTGAAACATTTATAGTACTTTAAATTTTTTACTATATAGGAATGTTGGAACAAAAACTTTAAGTACTTGCAAAACTCTATGTCTATTTTCAAAGTACAACCGCTAAGTTGCATCCATACAACTCAGTAAGGATGAGTACTATGACCATTTAAAAAAATCTTCACTAAGTTTCTAAGCAGAATAATAATTGTAGTAGGATGGTAGAGGAAACTCAATTGCATGTGAATTGAAGTGAGCATGAGGTTTGACAGCTATTACGAATTTACATCTTCAGATCCAGAAAAACTACCTCCAGGATAAGAAATAAGGTAACAATTTCCTGGGACACCATAAGCATGTTTTAGAGCATGATGGCTGTCTTTAGCACAAAAGGAACTTGATTAGTACTTTTGTCATTCCAAGGGGCGATTGGATATATTGGTAGCGGTAGTCGGAAGGGACATTTCAACTCACTGTCACAAATGGGTGGCAGATTCTCCCAGATGACACTCTTGCCTGAAATGACGCATGTATTAGAAGAATGACCAATGAGCTTGTATCTAGAGGTAAAGAATAATGAAAGATTATTTTCTAAATGTGTTATTAATCTCCCACTTAAATTACTACTGCTGGGAGAATACAATCTTCAAGAATTCAAAAGAAAAATTTTCACTTGGCAAAATCCTACCACTTTTCCAGATTTAATGTTTTTTTGTTTTTTAAAGGAGTTTTTAGTTTTTTCATGCTTTCTCAAGTGTACAGGCTCTTTTTTATTTATTACCTTAAAGGTCATATTTATATCACTCTAAAGTATATTGTTTAAAACTTATAGTGTTGCATGTGTATATGCTGTATATAGCTCTGTATAGTCTCTTTATAGTTATTTTATGCCTTGAAAATATTACTGTGTGAACACATGCATTGCTTTTACCAATAAGATTCAACAAACTTGAACCCTAAGCAATTCAAACTAATAAACTGTTTAACACGTAACTTCTTATTTAAAATGTTAAAAAGCAACAATGCTCAGTTAGATGAGATTTTTTTTCTTTATTTTCATAAAGCACATTTTATACCATTCTAAGGTGAATAATAAGTAGCCCTGGTGGTGTAGTGGTTATGCGTTTGGCTGTGATTCTCAAGGACGACAGTTCAAAACCACCAGCTGCTCCGAGGGAGAAAGATAAGGCTCTCTACTCCTATAGACAGTTAGTCTCAGAAACGCAAAGGGGTTAGTTCTACCCTGTCTATATGGTCACTATAAGTCAGCGTCTATTTATGGCAGTGAGTTTGGAGTTGGAAGGTGAATAATTGCAATTTCATCTAAGTTCTTTATGTATAAAGTTTTCAGTGGTTACTTCTTCCAAAGTGGCACAGGTCCCTTCTCCGTAGTCTGTTCCTACACTGGAAGCTCCTCTGAAATCGATTCACTTTTGGCATGTGAAATAACTGTGACATTGATAGCACTTGAAATACTGGTGACATAGTTTCCGGCAAGCCACCAAAATACCACAGATGGGTCTTGGCTGGAAGCAGAGAATACCAGAAAGATGGTTACTTGTATTCTCTTTACTGTGCCAAGGCTATGCCACTCTGTCAACTGTGTGGATCATAAGACACTGTGGACAATCTTGAGAAGGGTGGGAATTCTGCAAGCTCCTTCAGAAGTTGTTCACGGATCAAGAGGCAGTTGTGCAAACAGAACAAGGGAAAACAGCATAGTTTAAAATCAGGAAAAGTGCCTGACTGGGTTGTATCCTCTCACCATCCTTATTCAATGCATATGCTGAGCAAATCATCGGAAAAGCTGTCTTAAACGAAGAAGAATGGGGCATCAGGACTGGAGGAAGGCTGAGATATGCAGGTGACATCACCTTGCTTGCTGCTAGTGAAGAGTAGTTGGGGCACTTGCTGATGAAGATCAAGGAATTCCGTCTTCAATATGGATTACAATTCAGTGTAAAGAAGACCAAACTCCAACGGAACCCATAGGTAGTATCGTGATAAACGGAGAAAAGGTTGATGCTGTTATCATTTTGTCGTGCGTGGATCCACAATCAATGCTTATGGAAACAGCAGTCAAGAGATCAAAAGACACATTGTTTTGGGTAAATCTTCTGCACAAGACCTCTTCAGAGTACTGAAAAGTAAGGATGTTGCTTTGAGGACTTGTTGAGTCTGACCTAAGCCATGGTATTTTTAATTCCTCATATGTATGTGAAAGTTGGACATTGAATAAGGAAGACCAAAGAAAACTGGATGCATTTGAATTGTGGTGCTGGAGAAGAATATTGAAAATACTATAAACTTCCAAAAGAACAAAAAAAATTTTCTTGGAAGAAGTATGACCAAGATGTCCCTCCAAAGCAAAAATGGCAAGACTTCTTTTTTTTTTTTTTAAAGAAAATGTTCCTTTTATTTCTCATCCTTTCATTCTCATTATTGCTCTATTTTATTCAAGGTCAAACCAAGTTATTTGTTTGAAGTGGCTTACATTCTATTCCCCCCCTTCATTTATTTATTTAGTTAAAAAATAATTTTGTTGGGGCTCGTACATCTCTTATCACAGTCCATACATCCATCCATTGTGTCAAGCACACTTGTACATTTGTTGCCCTCATCATTCTCAAAACATTTGCTTTCTACTCGAGCCTTTGGTATCAGCTCCTCATTTTTCCCCTCCCCCTCCCTCTCCCCCATGAACCCTTGATAATTTATGAATTATTATTTTGTTGTGTCTTATACCATCTGATGTCTCCCTTCACTCACTTTTCCGTTGTCCGTCCCCCAGGGAGGAGTTTATATGTAGATTCTTGTAATCTGTTCCCCCTTTCTCCCCACCTTCCCTCCACCCTCCTGGTATCACCACTGTCACCACTCGTCCTGAGGGGATCATCTGTCCTGGACTCCCTGTGTTTCTAGTTCCTATCTGTACCAGTGTACATCCTCCGGTCCACTTGGATTTGTAAGGTAGAATTGGGATCATGATAGTGTGGGGGGTGTGGGGCTCGGGGGGGAGAAAGCATTCAAGAACTAGAGGAAAATTGCATTTTTCATCATTGCTAACTGCACCCTGACTGGCTTGATCACCTCCCCGTGGCCCTTCTGCAAGGCCCTGGGTCCCCACTCCGCACTCTCCCTCATTCACAATGCTATGATTTTTTTGTTTGTTTGTTTTGATGCCTGATACCTGATCCCTTTGACTCCTTGTGATCTCACAGGCTGGTGTGCTTCTTCCATGTGGGCTTTGTTGTTTCTCAGTTAGATGGCCACTTGTTAATCTTCAAACCTTTAAGACTCCAGACTCTATCTTTTGATGGCTGAGCACCATCAGCTTTCTTCACCACATTTGCTTATGCACCCGAGTCAGGACAGGCTGGTGTGCTTCTTCCACAAGTCAGCAGAAGGACACCATGTTTGGTAAAGTAGAGGAGCAGCAAAAAAAGGACCCTCACAGAGATGGATTGGCACAGTGTCTGCAACAGTGGGTTCAAGCATGGGAACACTTGCGAGGGTGGCGCAGGATCTCGTAGTATGTAGTTCTGTTGTGTATTGGGTTGCTCAAGGGCACGTAAAAACAAGAGCAACATCCATGTTTCATTTCTTTAAGGTGTTACAAGATTCTTGAGTGCACAGAAATTGCTATGTGCATGCTTGTTATATGTGTATGTGTTGTATGAATATACACACAAACTGCCCAAAGTTTTCCATAAAAATTCATGACATTTATTTTATTTCAACTGAGATTCTACGGCGATAGAGTCCTGGGCTGATCTAGTTACAAGAACTGGTGCAGAGGGTCACGCTTGATGTCATGTCAAGTGAGTCATATATTTACTGGCGAGAATTTTGCCTTATGAATATTTAAGAGAATATGCCACTATCCTCTATCAAGTCTTTATATAGTTGTGTATACTTTTGTTGCAAATATATCCATAAATGTGGTAGAGCATACAGGAGGCAAAGTTATGAATACTTTTTAGGCATAAAAAACCTCCAAAACTCCTGGAGGGAATGAGTTCCTGGGTCTGGGAGATCAAAGTGAATGTTTCAGGAGTGAACAAGGTCAATTGGCATAATATGGTTCACAAAGACAATGTTCTACATCGTCCTTGAGTGAGCAGCTCATGAGCAGTTATCTAAGGTGCAGCCATTTGTTTCTCTCCATCCAGAGGAAAGAAAGAGATGCAAATTGAAATACACCTGCAAGCAATTAGTCCAATAGACTAATGTGTCATGCAAACATCAATCCTCATGACTCGACACCAGCAGAACTAAATGGTACCAGCGGTTCTGAAAAGAGTCAGAAGATCTTGGATAGAATGGGAGAATAAAACAGTAAAACGCAAAATCTTAAGAAACCAGGTTTACTGGTAAGAAAGAGACAACCGGGACCCCTGAGATGATGCTCCTTAGTCACCCCTCGGGTCCGGAACAGAACGTGCCCCCTGTGGCAGAATAGCAACCACTTAGGAGTGAAAGGGTAGCATTTACCCAATGGAAGCATCCAGAGGGTGAAGAAAGGAAACAGGGAGCACAGGGAGAAGCGGATTGTAGTTGATGAGTTGACAGAAAAGACATATGAATGTAAACCTGATGATTAGCCTGTAAATCTTCACCTGATTAAAAAAAGAAAGGACGGAGACCACACGGCTCCACAAAGCCGTGTTCCAACAGCAAGAAGAGAGTGCCAAATGAGAGATCAATGGATGGAGATCGCAATAGAGGTCGAAGAAACTGGACGTATTATCATATTGGTGTAGTGTGTATGTTGCAATTACTAATGACTTTTGTAATTTTTTCCAGTTTTTAATGCCTTCCAATAAGCTATTGTTGCTGTTGAGTACTGTTGAATTAGCTTCAACTTTTAGACACTCCTATGACAGAGTAGAACTGCCCTCCAGTGCTGTGGTGTATTGTCTGAGATCTTTACACAAGCAGGCTGTCAGGTCTTTCTCTCCCAGACCTGCTGTGTGGGTTTGAACTGCCAACCTTGCGGTCCTCACCACAGCACTTACCACTACGCATCTGGCTCCTTTCTCCAAGTGAATCACCCCAAATGAAAATATCCTAAATTGTGCTGGAACACACATACACATGGAGGATGAATGCAGTAAACAAGGGGCAGTCTTTTAACTGTATGTGGCCCTTCTCTGCCTGTTTATCTTAGGACCAAAGGATCAGAAGGTCCCTCTGGCTTATGACACTATAGACGGTGTTTCCTGAAGTGCTCTTTGTGGGTTTCTAATCCTGGCTGGAATAAACATGGTGAGGTAAGTTTCCTTGTGAGCGCTCAACTTCTCTTCCTTACTATTGGTTTGTGTTTCAGTAATAACCACATCTACAAGTGGAAGATATCTTTGTATTCACCGGGCAAGGGAATCCAGACTGAAGAGAGTTTTAATTTAATTATACTTGCTGTCCAAAGTTGAGTGAAATAATTGAACAAACAATGGAAATATTATTTGAAAACAATTTGTTTTCTGCTGGGATGTTTAAGAAGAAATAAAGCCATCAAAGATTTTAAAAGCACACTACTTAATTTTAACTGCCTAAAACT